CTGGAACATAGGCATGCTTACAGACGCCCGACAATAGCTGTATTTCTCGACCTGAAGGCGGCATTTGACTCCGTTGATCGAGAAGTCTTATGGCAGTGTCTGTCACTGAAAGGCGTGCCTAGTAAGTACATCACCTTATTGAAAGCTCTCTACTCGAACACTTGTGGGCATGTTAGAGCCTATGGTGAGTTGTCCAGGGAGCTATACTCATCAAGTGGTGTCCGTCAAGGATGCCCACTATCCCCATTCTTATTTAATTTTATCATAGATATTCTTATGGAGGTTTCCCTCTCGTCACCTAATTACAAAGACGTTGACCGGATCACAGGTGAATTTTCCTTAGATCTAGAATATGCAGATGACATAGTCCTGTTAGGTGAAGACGCTGACAAGATGCAGAGTCTTCTGAACACTTTGAGTGGGAATTTGAGAATGTTTGGGATGCGATTTTCACCACCCAAATGCAAATTTTTGCTCCAGGACTGGTCTTCAGCGGTACCGCGGTTAACAATAGAGAGTGAAGTGGTTGAGTGTGTTGACCACTTCACTTACCTGGGAAGTAGGATCAACTCCGGTGGGTTAGTTGCCGATGAGATTTCTGCACGGATACAAAAGGCTCGATTGGCTTTTGCCAATTTGCGCCACCTATGGCGCCGCCGTGATATTCGTTTGTCTATTAAGGGTCGCGTGTACTGCACAGCAGTCCGCTCTGTTCTACTGTATGGCTGTGAAACATGGCCATTGAAAGTGGAAGACACAAAAAGGTTACAGGTGTTTGACCACCGTTGCCTTCGTAGTATAGGACGTATTCCGTGGTGTCACCATGTGAGTAATGCAGAAGTTAGGTGTAGAGTTTTAGGGAGAAGAGGTAAGTCAGTCGACGAGGTTGTGAACCTTCATCGACTGAGATGGTTGGGACACGTACTACGTATGCCTAGTCACCGATTGCCTCGTCACACAATGTTGGCTGAGGTGGGTTCAGGCTGGAAAAAGGCCCGAGGTGGCCAGACTAAAACATGGCACCAATGTATGAAGTCTCTGACTGTTGGTTTAAGCCATGTAGGACGATGCAGACTAGGTGGTTGGGGTCCACGGGACAAGAGGAACCAGTGGTTGGAGACCCTAGGTGATATGGCTCAGAACCGAAGTCAGTGGCGCAGATGTATACACACATTATCCTCATCTTAACAACGCTATACCGAATCTCACTATTTTGTCACTCCTCTTTCCTTTCTTCTCGTACTTTATATTTCTTTTGACTGCATTCACTTATCTTCATCCTTCACCTCACTACCTTTTTACTTGATGTGCTGATATGAGGTGTGGCAACTCGGACCGTTACGCAGTAATGCCTGGTCCTATGTTGATAATGATGATGATGACTTCTTTTCGTCACAAACTGTTGAGTCAGATATTTGCTTCCCGATTCAGTTACATTGAAACTTGATTGGAGAAATGGCTTGTTAATTTCTCACTTCAGCCCTCTGTGTTTTGCACTGCCTGTTAGGTCGATAAATGATGGACAGATGACTGATGACTTGAGTTGAGTGTTGAAGAACTTTTAATCTGCATGTTACTCTAGCTCTAAAACCGACGGAGCTCCAGGCGATGAGAAATAAAGCTACTGATGTAACTCATAGACAGTTCAGAAGCTCATAGTATGCAAACTCATGAAGATTGCTAACAGGGTGTTCAAAACAGCTTTATGCAGTCCTACTTTCTACCAAAACTTTAGAAATAAAATCCTAATAATTTATTTAATTTATGCTGACTTCTACACTTACTGAAAAAGTTTCCTTGGTCCAAACGGTTGGTTACCGAAGAATGCTGGGACACAAAAGGCCTGTTTGCTACTTGCCAACTTAGGTCAGCTCTGTCGACGGTGAATTACCCGACTATCTGTTTAAGAACGAGTAGACTACGCTTCAGTTGAATCTGTGAGATATCTGTGAAAGTAAATGTTAAGAGATTACAGATTTCCTGAGTGTCTTTAGCGCTCTTTCTCAACAGACTGTTGGTGGCACCAGGAGTCTTCAGGATAGATGACACTCATATCTCGATAAATATCTAAGAAGTTTATCTTTGAAAGCAACCTTAATACGCTCACCATCCTGTTTTAATCGGTATGGTCTTGGTATTGTAACTGTTCTATCTGCTTTTGGGTGCAAACGGGTGTGCTCGAACCCGCGTATGATCACTATGGAAACACGTACTGCAGAAGTAGCGGCAGTCGTTCACTTACCCTCTTGCGTGATAAGCGATCGCAATATAATTTATTCAATTCACGACTTTTTGAACGTCTGGAACACTGTGCGAAGCATTTCGAAAACCAATTCAACTGGTCTACTGCTTTAGCAACATTGAATTCACTGTCTTGTACTCCATGATCGGCTAATACCAACTCACCTAGTGAAGTGGAGGTCCGTTGGAAAATCCGAGTTCTAAACTGCCGTAAATTATCCAGCCCGAACAACCTACACAGCTCTTTTTATGTATTGTGATAAAGTGGTTAAAGAACTGACTACATCACACTGAGTTTCCCATCACTCAGGAATGGGTCCACTGTCGTACTCACGTTTAAAAAAGGTTTGCATGATTTGTGATAATCGTCTGTCACCAGTAGCTTCGAATGTGTTGACTACTGTTATGATAACCTGGCTCAGAAAACGCATGAAAGGCTGACCCACGAGGAGCAAGGAGAGTTTCGTCTAGGTTGTGGGTGCATGGACTGGGTGTTCGCTCCCTGCCAGACACTCGAACACCGTCACACGTACTTCAGGCGAACGATCGTCATATTTCTCTGTATTGGAGCTGCTTTCGATTCATTAGACAGGACTGTACTCCATAGTTCTGTTTTAGAGAAAGGTGTCCCTACGAAGTTGCTTAACATCTTAAAAGCTGTATAATTTAACACATACAGAATGAGGATATACGGCCACCTCTCTCCATTGTTTCAAACCAGTAGTGCGGTTGAGCAGGGCTGCCTGGTTTTGTCACTCTTCTTCAACTTGTCCATATATGACATCTTCGAAGCAACCCAAAAGGAGGTACTTTTCGGTGATGTTTACTTGTTACCAGGTGAAAAACTTCTGAACCTTGAGTATTCGAATGATCTTACAGGCTACTCAAGTCTCTCACCCAATTGGTTGGTGATCATTGTCCATGTATATGATGTGTTTCACATTATTGAAGTCCAAAGTTCTTTGCAAGACTAGCAAGAGCCCCTGTACCTGCACTCACCCTTGGAGGAGAATCATTGGCACTTATCGAAGGCTTTATGTGCTTGAATACTTGTGTAAGCTGAAGGAGATATGACCAAACACGTTGAGAACCATAGCCACTAACACTAATCTGCGTCACCTCCGATGCTGTCGTGAAGTTAGCTAAGTATGGCTAAGTATGAAACTCCTCGGTGCAGGCAGTTTTGTTCTACGCCTGTGAAACTTGGTGTCGCTAATCTGAAGATATCCAATGACTGCGTTTTCAATTATCGCTGTCTCCATAGAGTTGTTTGCGTCTGGTGGAAACATCAAGTAGGGAGTTCTTAAACATGGTGAATTGTGTTTGAACGCAATAAAAAGCATCATCTATTAGTGTGGCCATCTTGTAACAGTGGCTTCAGTGGCTTGAATGTGTGTTACATATGTCTTCTCAGTGGCCGCTACGCTGTTCACTGTTTGCCAACCGTGTGATTGTTTGGCAGGAGCGAAAAGGTGGTAAGCGTATGATTTGTGGCCCCATGGAATGAAGAATAGTTGTGTTAGGTTAACATCTGTGAATACTTCATTACTCTCTGTATGGGGTATGATAGAAGGCTAGGTCATTGGTGGTTATTAATAAAGAGAATTATTTTTGACCCTCAGCTTTCTCAGTCGTTCCATTTTACATCACGGTCGGTTTTTTCGTGTTTTGAGCCTTCTTAACACTATATGCGTATTTTAGGAGAAAAAATATATAGTATGAAAGTTTCCTTTTTTGTTCTGTTTGCCATATTGTACATTTAGTCTAAGCCTTCAGTCGTAAATTTTCACAGTATAACAATTTTGATCATACCATATAGTTAGTTTGTTGTTTTGACAGAATTATTTTGTTTCCCTGAGCAATTATTCAATTTCTTACTGAAAATTTTCTCGACGAATCATTTTCAAAAGTTGTACAATTATAATCATAGATATAACAAAACTAGTCAGTACGAAGTTATTGAAAACCGTCGATAAAGAAGGTCATCAAAAATTGCTCACAGAATTATAAACAATGTACAAAAAAATGAATGTATCTCTTGTGCCGCTAGATTACCAAAGCCGACACTGTGTTGAGGTGGAGAGTGTTCACTGTCTTCCAAATGTTTAATTTCACTCTATGAATAACTTTGAAAGAAGACTGTTGTGCAGCAAAGTACCGGCCAGAGTTAACCAGCTTCTTAAGAATCAAGCTGTTGATAGCTTTACACTCTCCTTCAGACGTCCATGCATAACAGTTTCGGAGATGCGTTTGGATAGAATAGGCTTTCTATGGCCTATCTAACCAGCTTCATTCACAAAAGTAGGTGAATTGGTAGACACGTGGAAATAGCTCAAAGTGGTTTATCCTTTGTGCATTCATGAATCAATTGTTGATTGGAGAAAACAGTCAGTAACTGGATGGAATAGAAGGTCTTCTTCAGTGCTTTGCACAGCCGATTCTTCAGTATCTCTCCCAATGTATCTCCTTTGAATCCAATATTCATAAATAGTGTCTTTTTTGAAACCGTAAGGGTTTCATTTTTGAAATCTCTAGGCCTCATGTTCCTTCCTCTCAATAAATCTCTTCAATGAACACTTTCCAAAGTACTTTCAAGTCATGATTTACTGCATCATTCATACAAGTTCTAATTAATATGCATAATGAATGGACTAGATTACAATTACACAGCTGTTGAAAATGATTCGTCGAAAAAACTTTTTTCCCCTCTGAATTGTCCTGTGTTAGTCCTACATTCTCCCGTTTTTCATTCATTCCAGAGGAATTGTATGAAGCATGCCTATTTCATGCTGTAGATGTCAGTCGAAAGGATATATTAAACGTCCAAAGACTGTATGTTTCTTATATCTGTCAAACTTTTAATCAACTTAGGGTGATGTTATGTGCAAACAATGCTTTTCCTGGTGTTTTGAAGAAGAAATACATTGGACAATTGTAAACGCAAAACTTATTAATCGTGGTGATAAAATAGCCATTGGTGCTTCTGGGGCAAAGGTATAGAGGATGTTTATGAATTACCTGAATGATGATTTTGTTTTACATTTTCAGATTCTACTGTATTAGCTTACATACTCAACTTACTGAATAAAAGATATGACTATGGAGCTGAACTACTCCTCTTATCTATTGATGAAGGAATAAGCGGGTATAGGGATGACTCGTTAAGGGTATGTTTCCGGTTTCATATTTTCATATCTTTCGTGTTGCTATACAGACTGTTCAACGAAATCAGATCCAGTATGCCCTTCCGTTAAAAATTCTCTCCTATCAGGTGAGAGTGTATTTTCAATCGGTAATCCCTTTAGGATTTATACGGATGGTCAATGGATGATATTGTGAAGCATATCGGAAATAAACGAAATTGTAACTGATATAGTATTTGGTTACTCATCATATTGTTCCTAGGTACATTCTGTGGAGTATTTCGTCGTCAAGCTTTAGATAAAGGTGCATTACTTCTTGGTGCCAACAAAATATGTACAGGTCACAATGCAGATGACATTGCTGAGACTGTATTAATGAATAGTAAGTAACATTTTTGTGGTTTTAAATTCCTAATTATGATCTAAAGCACAATTAAGCCTACATAAAGTATTCTCAATAACAGACAATTGTTAGGTTAAGTAATCGAATTCTCTTGGAGAAAGATGTATAAAAGTATCAACACCAAGTTCTCACTTAATCCAATGCCTAATAAATATGGAAATGATCTCACCAACCTTGTGCAGTAGGCAATAAGCCACACCTACAGTATATGGGCTAATGTGATACTTACTACCTGGCTACCTAAACTTCTATAGGTGGATCAGGGTTCGAACTCACGACGCTTAGGTGGAAAGTCAACTGCCTAAACGGGTGTTACACTAGTTGATCAAAATCAAATATTCAAGGAACCTCTATTTAAAGTAAATATTTTTGAACGACAACGAATTTTCATTATGATGATCTAGTGTAACTTGGGACTTACTGCCACTAAACTGTTTATATTTTGAACTAATTTCCATGTACATTTAATTCTAACACCCACACATATCTGATTATTTGAATTTAACAGTTCATTGTTATGAACAACCTGACTGCTGTTGGCTAACATTTATTGCTTTATTAACATGTATGGATTTAAAGGTTATATTCATCACGGAATGATATCAGTTGGTGTCATAGATGCGTACTACTGAAGAGTCTCATGTCAGGATGAAACAACTGTGCAGTGCTACCAGGTTTTCAATATTTCCCCAACTAATGTCAGTCCGTGATGCATACAACCTTCAAAATCAGAGGCATTTAAACCCCAAACTATATATATGTGGATTTGTTTACTCCTTTCTTACTTGGTTTCATTTACCGTGTTTGATGTCCTTTCTTATACTCAGTAGTATAACTCGTCTTTCGAGTCAAACGCTTTAACCACTCAGGCATTGCAACGCAACTTGGGAGCACGCACCCACGACCTGACTAGTGATTGAACTCAGGACCTTCGAGCTTCAGGGTTAACACGTTAACCATTCAGCCACTGGGTCAAAGAAAGATGTCTGTTTCACCTACTTAGGCAGCATCTTTTCAGCTACGGACGGCGGTACACATGAGGATGTCAAAGACAGGATTGTAATGACAACAAAGCAGGGCTTCATTAATCTGAAATCAATGTGGAGATCTACTGCACTCAGCATGAAGCGTGAACAATATCCGAATTTTCAACAATAATGTCAGCCAAGTCAATACTTCTCTTTGATGGTTCAGAAACTTAGTGGCGCGTTACGAAAAGCATTCATCAACAGCTGCCGCCTACGCTGGCTCACTCGATACTGACACTGAAGATTTGATGGCCAGAATAATAAGAATAAGCAACAAGGGACTCTGGCTGGCTGATAACAAACCAACCGAGAACCCATCACCCAACAAATATGCAGAAGGAAGTGGAGATGGGTCGGAGTGGACATACACTTAGAATACCATTTGAGAACATTACGCGCCAGATCAGGCCAAGCCCTCGAGTGGAACCCAAAAGGGAAACGAAGAGTTGGGTGTCTGAGGGCCACATGGAGGAGATCGTGTGAGGAGGAAATGCAAGCTACTCGACAGTGCTGGAGTCTGGTTCAAAAGACTGCAGAGAAGAGATTGAAATGGTGACGTACTACTGAAGCTCTATGTTCTACTAGGAACCCCAGGGGACAAATAATAGAATGATAATAATAACTCATCCTTCCAATAACGTTGCTTAGTCAACGACTCGACGTTTCATTCTGTTTAATTAGATCTTGTTTATCATTTAACACCCGGTTCATGATGGTGTTGGGATCCTTTTCTGTGTTCCCTGATGTTCTATTTTACCTTGAACATTTTTATATCTTGTGTGAACATACGCGTATCTATTGTTATTCCTTCTGGTTCACTTTGAACATAGCCTTGTTGTTTTTGTTATTGACGCACTCTCGGTAAGGTGTTTTGATAGCAAATAAACCCACAGAAGTCTCACGACTTGAGGTTCGTAATTTATTAGTCACTTTTGTTTATTAATACAAAACCATATTTCAAGCAAATTCTGTGTTTTGGATTTTACGTGTAACTCGTTGGGAAATCGCTTGTTCGCTTTGGTTCCGAATTTCTTCAAAATAAATTCACAGGATGTATAACTGAAACCGGAGTTTACACATATAATCCATTGCTTTTTGTGTTCAATTTTGAAGCAATTCATTCTGCGTTCAAATCCTACTCCACCTACCTTGATCTAGGCAGTCGAGTAGTATTATTAGCCCTCATACAGTTGGTTTGACCCATAGCCTAGTATAGGAACCTGTGCTGCGTTGAGTTTCATTTGAACACGAGTAGAAAGTGAGTCAACAAAATATATTCTTTTTTTCACTTAGCTGTATTTTGCATTGCATTTATGTTCTCTGCGCTGAGTTCTATAGTCATGGGGCGGTTATCATCTCACTAGACGATATCATCAGCATTAACTTCAGTATGAAGTGAGCTGTCAATATCTCTCCATGTGAGTAATTTAGTAGCTGGCCCTGACGAACAGGTTTGTCATTGGTTGTTTATATATATATATATATATATATATATATATATATATATATATATATATATATATATATATGATTAGATGGACGATCCTTCGTCTGAGAAATGCATAAGTTGCACAACAGATAGAATCAACGGAGAACCTCGCACACAGATAGGTCGGTTCAAGTTGCCACACTTCACAGTAGTATATAAAGAACAGGTGGATAGAGAAAGAGTGATATCAAAGTGCACAAAGTTGTCACAGAATAAGCAAATATCCAAGCTTTAGAAGACATACATTTGCACCAATGTGACCGATTTTCAGCCATGTCACCAATAGTTCTCAACCACTTACTCCTGTCGTCTGGAGGACTCCAGCCAGGTAGGCCACATCTGCCAACACGATTCAAACCAACAGTCAGGGACTTCATCGACTGGTACCACGTCTCGGTCTAATCACCTTAAGTCTTCTTTCAGTCTAGTCCAACTTCCTTTAACATGGCACTTTGAGATAGGCGGTAGCTTGGGATGTGCGAGACATACCCAAACCACCTCACAACCTCATCAGTCAACTTGCGCAACCGAACATTACTGTGCATTACAGTTGTTATCACATGCAGGAATATATGGACATCAATTTCGATGTTTACTGATAGTCTTGTTCAAAATATATCGTCAACGTTTATACAACTCATACTTTTCTTTATTGGACTGACAATGAGAAGAACACAGTTAATTTAGTACAAACTCTAAACATCGCTTTTTCCTTACAACTTTCTTATCTACAGTTTTACGAGGTGACATTGGTCGACTAAAAAGATGTACAGCTATAATGACAGTAAGTAATGAATAAATTTATTATTTTTCTTAAGTTGATTATTCTCATACACATACATCATATATATTGTGTAGGGTACAGACAGTGTACTTCCACGTTTTAAACCATTCAAATACGCCTATGAAAAAGAGATTGTAATGTATGCACATATGCATAAGTTGGATTATTTTTCAACAGAATGTAAATACGCACCACAAGCTTACCGGTAGGTTCTTATTCTTGTTATTGGTTAACTTGATACAAAGAGGTCATGTGAGAGCGTTTATCAAAGATTTGGAGAGAATAAGACCTAGGACTATTATAGGTAAGTTGGTTTAATTTGTTATGACAATATTTTTCTTCTTTTATTAGATATTATTGCGTCTGGTGAACGTATGGCTATTCGAAATGATGTGAAAATGCCTATAAAAAGTAAGTATTTCATCAATTCTCTGAAATGAAGTCGATTACACTAATTGATGTTTTAGGAAACGAGAAGACTGAGATGCAGGAAGGAACGTTTATTATTGACATCTTCTACAGCATTATTATTATTTGTCGCTCGGGTTCCTAGTCGAACATAGGGCTTCAGTAGCACGTCTCCATTCTACTCTCTTCTCTGCAATCTTTTGAACCTGGCTCCACGACTCAACACAAACTCTCATTTCTTCCTCACACCATCTCCTCCATGTCACCTTCACCTCGGACGCCTAAATCATCGTTTCATACGTGGGCTCCACTCGAGTGGCTGGTACATGATGTTCCCGAATGGTCTTCTCAGTGCATGCCCAATCCATCTTCACTTCCTTCCACTGCATATTTGTTGAGCGATAGGTCCTTGGTTGGTTTGTTACCAGCCAGCCAGAGTGTGTTCCTTGTTGCTTATTCTTTCTGGCCATCTGAGCTTCAGTAACGGGCGTAGGCAGTTGTTGATGAATATCTGTAGTTTGTTGGAAATGCCTTTCGTAACGCGCCAGGTCTTTGAACCATCACATAAAAGTACTGACTTGACTGAATTGGTGTTGAAAATCCGGATGCTGTTCACGCTTTAAGCTGAGTGCAGAAGATCTCCACACTGGTTTCAGGTTAATGAACGCCCGTCTTGCTTTCCCGATCTTGGCTTTGACGTCCTCGTCTGTGCCGCCTGAACATGAAACGGTGCTACACAGAGAGGTGAAAGATCTGCAGTGGTCAGCAAATATTGTACATCTTCCACTATGACAGTCATTTGCACAATGTGCTTGATTTCCTCTTTTGCTTTTATCTTGATTTTTCTTTTAATGCGCCTACATTATCTTTTGTGTTCCTCTAGGCAGAATCGTTACCTATTGCTGGTAGTTGCCTATGATCTTTGCCGCCCTCTCAACATATACTATTTATATTCATTATGATTAGTAGCGCTCACTACAGTGTATGCTGAACTATATAAAAACGTTTTGTGGAAGACAGTTTATGTACTAAATTGCACTTTCACCATATGTGTAAATTTAAATGTGACTGGGATAATTTTATGATTGGATCTAGTTTCTTAGTGTGGCAGATATGTTGATACTCGTAGTGTATATGCAAAGGTTTTCACTGGCAAATACTAAAGTTGTTCTTTTGATGATGGATGCTGAAGTTTTGAGAAAATGGCTTAAGTTTCGGTTCTCAACCATTAGTTTTAATCATTCTGATAAAACTAGCTGACCAGCCCAAACCCACACATAGTCATACGAACAGGCTGGTTGTCGATGAAATCTCAACTGGGATACAGAAGGCCCGTTTGGTATTTTCCAAGTTGCATCATCTCTGGCGTCGACTGGTGATATGTCTGACTACCTGTTAAACGACGAACATACTACTCTGCAGTCCATTTTGTCGTGTTATGCGGCTGTAAGACATGACCATTGAAAGTAGAAGATATAATCACAGATGTCTTCTTAGCATTACTCGCGTCTGGTGGAATTACCAAGTTACCTATGTGGTTAGGCAAAGGGTACTAGACGAGGAAGACAAGTCAGTCAATGAGATTGTGCACGTACTGAGGCACTGCCTACCTCGACGTGCGCGGCTGGAGGAAGTCGGATTAAATTGGAAGAAGCCTAAGGGTGCCCAAATCAAGACGTGGGACCAGTGCATGAAGTTTCTGATTTGGTCAGCCATATAGTATGGTATAGACTACCTGGTTTGTGTCTGTGGAGTGACAGGAATTAGTAGTTGAGAACTCTTGTTGAGGTGACTGGAAATCGATCACAGTGTCGCAGATGTATTCACTCTTTAATGTTTTCTAAAGTTTGAATATCGATACACAACCTTTTCTACTTTGATATCACTTTTTCTATCCACTTGTTCTTTGTATGCTATTATGAAGTGTGGCGAGTCCGAGTGATGCAGTTGTGTGCAAGGTTCTAAGTTGATTTCATTTTTCTGTCTGTCTTGTGACTTTTGAAGTGGATTACATTTTTATTACGTTTTCCACTATTTTCACATGCATCTTCTGATTTACGTCTACCACTTGTTGATCCATAACATTTGAAGCTCTACGAAAACCCAGAGGAATTTGGGATTGTATATATTTACTTATACTCAGATGCGTATCAACAACCACCTCGCTACACGACGCAGGCTTCATAGATTAGTGTCACATCTTGGTCAGGTCCTGCTTAACTATCTTCCAACTTAATCCTACATCGACTAACATTATGCCTCAAAGTAGACATTTGTTTTCAATGGACAACATATCGTAACCATTTCACTTAATGAAAGCTCAGCAACTCATTTATTGGCTTATGCTTCGGTTAAGTACTCTGTGTTTAACTTCAACACTGCTCTTCTTTTCGTCACAAACTGTTGAGTCAGATATTTGCTTCCCGATTCAGTTACATTGAAACTTGATTGGAGAAATGGCTTGTTAATTTCTCACTTCAGCCCTCTGTGTTTTGCACTGCCTGTTAGGTCGATAAATGATGGACAGATGACTGATGGCTTGGGTTGATATAGTTGTTACACTTGTACTGAAACTGAGTGAGTTCCAAACTATGAGAATTAATTTCAGTGTTGTAACTCAGGGGAACAATTCGCATGGTTATCATGCTCAAACTTGTGAAGATTCCCAACAAGACATCCGAAATTGCCTTATTCAATGTCAGTTGCTACCGAATCCCTAGTTTTTAAATAGCCATTCATTCACTTTACGGTTTGTCATCTGTTTCTTTGTTACACTAGCTACAGACATTTGATGGTCCCACTGTTGAGAATGCAATCGCCGATAAAGACATCTTCCCTAAGCTTCTTGTTTTCTCTAGCAGAAGTTCGCAGCTGTTTTTTTGTTCCTACTAGTAACCTCCCTCTTCATTTTAACCTTGTTTTTCAAGTAGTTTCACTGAATTTCATGTATGCTTGATCAGTTTTAAATTACGTAGGACCGATTCGCCTACTCCTACTTTGTACTATTTGTTTCTGTCTTACAATTCCTTCCGTTAATAAGTTTAAATGGAGAGGAAACAACAGTTTTAACAGAATAGCATGGATGCATTTTACCTCTGGGTTTCTCATCAGCTGCTTAACACTGAAAGTGATTCCGATACCAAAACTGTGCCAGGGATCAAAAATACTAGAGTCAATTTGATAGAAAAGTAATGGCTTGACGAATGAATAACAGTTATGTTACGTACTTGAAGTCATACAAACTGTTTAGACAAACATACAAGCACCAGTAATAGGTTTGTTCATATATGGAAAAGTCCGACGATTACTCTGGAGTGGTAGGTAGACAGCAAAATCAAAAAAATGTATTACACTTACTGAGAAATATTCAATAAGAAACAAATATCAGGTTAGTTGATGTACACTAGCCAAGATAATAAGATGAATAGAAACCTAGATAATAGGGTCAAGATTTTTTGCTATAGAACAAATTTCAGGGATTTACACATAAGTCTGCAGACCAGACTTAAACATGAATGGGGAAGAAATTCCATTCACTAACTCAATTCAAATATCAAGTATTTGTACCTACAAATAGTTAGACGTTTTAATAACACGTTTGCATCGATTTTGTTTTGTGTCTGCAGCTGGAGTTGGTGTAGGTTGAAAGATCGTCTAACCAAGACGTGACGATAAACAGTCGGTTATTTGAACCAGTTTGTAGGATCGTCGTTCCAATTCGTAAAGTGGCAGAATTAGATGACTAGAACAACTTGCAAATCAGTAAATGTCTTAGTATCTTGAACTTTTTTATTTTGTCATCTTGTATCATCGTTTCCCTTAGTTTATTCTAGTTAAAATTAACATCCTTCCCGTCGTATAGATCTCACCTGATGGTGTTATTGAAAATTGTGGTAACTTGGAAGTTGACTTTAGTGGATTGTTTCTGCTAAGTTAGCTCCTGCGAATCTATGTGTTTATCAGAGAAGGCCGAACAAATTGGACCGCAGCTTTTCTTGTATCAGCAAGACGTCAGAGCTGTTCACTTCAGAAAATGCGTAGTCTTAGGCAATTTTTCTTCTAGTTGGTATTCATCATGGGCTGGTATCAATTGGAGGAACAAGTTGGAATACTAACTTGAAAAATCACTAAATCCCAACAAACCCCCAAATTCAATTGATTTATTGCTCATTGGTGACTAGCTTCGAAAGGTGATTCCTAAAGTTCCAATGAAAAATCATGACCGGTGGAGTAAACTTGGTGGCTGTGAGGACAAATACTGGACGATAACATTGGGTGGCGGCCACACTATGTCGGGAACTGACAAAAGTTGGAAATATGGAGCATTGGGTTCCGGCCCAGTAGCCTAATGGTAACGTGCTGGCCACGAAACCTGAAGGTCGTGGGTTCGACCCCTGGGAGGGCGGGGTCATAGGTGCGCACTGCTGAGGAGACGCGTACTGGGACGAAACAGCTGTCCAGTGCTCGCAGGTTTCCAGTGTTCCTCTAAATTTTATCAATCCGTGATAAATGCTAACTTGGAAAACTACTTAATGCCTACAAACCCCCAAATTAGATTTTTCTTCTTATAGCAACACCTACGTATTTCGAATAGTCTTCTATCCTCGTGCTTGTTAACTTCGAAGGTCACTCTTTGTTGTGTCTACTGATGGGTTCATACCAATCAAATGTTAGAAGTGATATCCTTCTGTCCACTTTCCCGGTTCCAACATTCTTTTCAAAATTACCGTGCTAACCACGTAGATTGCCATTTCGTTAATAAGGTATTAGTTTGGAACCCTTGGAAGCCGAGCTCTTCATCATTCAGATCAGTGTTTCGGCTGAAATTTTTTTTGGTTACCACCGTCAGCATACTGTGAACATAGTCTCTGCAAAATGTAGTTCTTGGTATGAACATGGTTGACATGTGTTAACCTACGATTTCTGCGGCACGTGAATCCTCATCAAAGATCCAATGACCTGCAATACAACATTACCTTGTTTCACATTCTACTGCCATGAGATATGACCTTTGAATTTAAGCAAAATAGCGAAACAACAGGTGTTCGGTTATCTACCTCTTCACAACACCATCCATGTAAAAATACTGGGTGAGCAGCGCTGACGTTCGTCGTATTCTTAGGCTCAGAAGCGACATACATGCATTACTTTGGGCAAAAGGAAAGTAAAGTAGGAGTCTTGAAATGGTTTTACTGAAATACAACACTGATTTATGAAATACATAGCTGTAAACAGTGTGAATAGTAATTTCTTGAGATGTTAGAAGTCAGTAGTCTTTAAGTGGTGCGTAATATTAAAAGTCGAATACACTGCCCCTAATACCTCCTTTATTTGTCTTGCCGTGTTACTCAATGCCTAATGACCCTTCACTTCTGTTTTTCTGAAAAATGGAGATTTGCAATAAATTTATTGTTGTTCCAGGTTGTGTGTTCATTCGGTGTTAGCGTTTACGTTTATTTTAAGACTGATTTCTTACACCTGTTCCTACTTTTTCTGAGAGATATTATAATCGCTGAATGCTAGTAATTTGATAACAATCCTAAAATATTTGAGGTTGTATACCGTTCTTTCTTTCATTGGAGTAGTGGCTGATAGTTTCTTTACAAACATGTCAACTTTTACGTTCTGCTTTACACTCCACTACCATGTGGTTTGCAGTGCATACATTACTTTTCTTTTAACCTCCACAAGTTGCTTAGTTTCGCTATCATCCCTCCTTATTATGCTTCCTTTTTTATTCAGGCAATTGTGAACAATGTGGGTGTATTTCTAGTCAACCTATCTGTCAAGCTTGTCTTCTACTGGAGCAATTGAATTCAGGTTTACCACAATTAACCATAAAAGATTCCAAACCTTAGCCTACAGATGATTGATTTCAGTTCAGCATGATTTCATATGTAATTCTTCATATATTGTGAATATATTTGACCAAACAACTTGCACTGAATGAGAACATTTTAAAAGCTTATATGTTATTTTCCTGTAAAGTGATCGTGAAAACAACTTTGAATAATTTCTGTCTTCTTGTTTTATTTATTATCAATAAGGACTTAGCGTAAGGGTGAGGTCTTCATAAACTTTGATCGAAGTGAATAATACCCACTTATTTTTCCAATAATTTCAGTAGTGTATGCACCTGAAGCAACTCCAAGTGACTCACCTATCGTCACCTCTGTGTATATATTTGGACTGGTTTTGAAAGTGTTCATATATAAAAGTTTAAAACCATCACATCTCAAATACTTATGTTTTATCATATGATTCTGGCTTCTTAGCTGCTTATTTCAGCTGTTCGGTTCAGCTGCATTGTTAGGCTAACAGAATATAAAAGAATTTCGCAACGAAGTTTTTTCGGAACATCTGGTTTTTAAATCTTTCCCTTCTTAAGATAATCGCGAAAGACTAAATGTGTTTCATTTCTTAAATGGTATAAATATTTGTACTGAGAGTTTTATGTTGACAAAGTCGTACTATTTGTTGAAATGCATTAAGATGATATTAAATTGCTTTCATAACCTCGCCTGGTTAACTAGTTTACTAGTTACTAGCCGATCCTAAGCCCGGGTAAAGATGGAAGGTCGGGCATAGGGCTAGCAACCCTACCCCGGAAAACAAATCTAACCGCTAAACAAACTTCAGAGCACAAACGACATATAAAGAATAATAACAAAATTATTCCTCACTGGAATCGGAGAGACGGAATGACGCCAGTTGGCGAAAGCCTTCGGGAGGCCAATTGGCCGATGTGTCTTCGCCTCTCTCGATGAAAGCGAAAGTAAGGATGGGGACATGGAATGCCCGCACCATGTTTGAACCCAGCAAGGCAGCCCAGATTGCAAAAGAGATGAGAATGTATCGCATTGAAGTGCTAGGAATTTGCGAAAGCAGATGGAATGGGAGTGGACTCTCCAAATTGTCAACTGGAGAATCAATAATCTACTCCGACATTGTCACCCAGACGCCAACCACGAGCACACTGAGTTATGCAGTGGCTATCATGATGTCCCCAACAGCATCGAAGGCTCTCATACAGTGGGAACCAATCTCCTCCAGGATCATGACAGCAAGATTCAACTCAAAAGGAAGGAAGGTCACAATCATACTGTAGCATTTTATTTCACTGTATTGTGTTGATGTATGTAACAACTCATTGAACACTTTTTGTTTAGTTGTACTGAAAAAGACTTTTTGCTCGCTCGTTGACTAATACAACATCCTGATATATACTTCGCGTTAACTCCTGATATTTACGCTGTCTGACGCAGGTGGATCAGCAGTGTCGGGAATTATAAATAGGCGATAGTGTATCTGGACACGTATATAAAATTTGGAGTCAGATTTCAGAGCTCGACAAACTGGTGAGCCCGACGTGATTAAACTCTCGCAATTGAATACTGCAACCGGCCATTAATGACTGTATACAATACGGATATACATATATACTGAGAATTTCTTTGGCTGCTTTGTGGTAGGCATTGACATACTTGTTTATTGTATTTTTCCTGCTCTTGTTCTTAAATATTTTTTTTGCTGTACCAGTACTGATGTCCTTAAACTCTCATAATCAAGACTTTTCGAATTTAGGGTCCGTGGGTGCCATTAATCTTCCTATGCCTTGTTTTAAGTTTAACGACCCGCAATTGTGGTTTGTCCGTCTAGAACATTTCTTCATGGCCAATCATATAACTTCACAAAACACAAAGTTCGGATACACAAGCTCTGTTTTGCCGGAAGAAGTGGCTGAACAAGTAAGGGAGACACTACTAAAGCCCCACCCAGACACACCTTATGATGTTTTGAAGCAGGAGGTGCTGAAAGCTACTTCGTTATCTGACCAGAAGGCTGTCGATCAACTACTAAGTAGCATATGCCTCGGTGACAGAACACCTTCACAACTTAAGCGACATATGCAAAGTCTGCTGAAAGATAGGAAAGTAGACAACCGTTTATTCTACCAGCTCTGGCTGCGGAGACTTCCTTCATGCATTCAGCAGATATTAGCTGTCGGAGATGCGAAAAAAGACATTGACAGGTTGGCTGACATCGCTGACCGTATGTACGAAAGGATGCCTAAACCGGTTGAAAGTATTGCTGAGCCAACGCAAAACGACCGAGTGGCCGCTTTAGAGAGGAAGATAGACATACTTACAGGACAACTGACGGCTTTGCAGTTAAACCGACGGTCACCGAAGTTCTGTAGAAGCAGATCCCGTAGTCGTGATAGGACCACGAGTAGAATTGCGTCTAAAAGTAGAACGTGCTGGTATCACAAGAAGTTTGGCAGTAAAGCACGTCGTTGTTTGTTACCATGCGATTTTAAAACCTTTTCATCGGGAAACGGAAAGGCCGGCGATCAGTGACGACTGCTGTCGCCGGCGTACAACAACACAGTCGTTTGTTTCGAGTGACGGATAGGAAGACTGGAGCTCAGTTTCTGGTTGACACTGGAGCGGAAGTGAGCGTGATCCCACCCACACCTTCCGAAAAACGCCATCCCAACCCAACTTTGGTACTACAAGCGGCAAATAGATCTGCTATTACTACATATGGGACCAGAATTTTGATCCTAGACATTGGCTTTCATACACCATTCCAGTGGGAATTCGTCATAGCTGACATATCGTCGCCTATCATTGGCATGGATTTCCTTCAACACTACGAACTATTGGTCGACTCTAGTCGCCATAGACTAGTCAGCCGTAATGGTGAATTTTCTATCACCGGTATCGCTACGGAGACAAAAACAATAAACTTAGTCGTAGCTCCAATAAACAACACTTCCGAGTACGATATCCTTCTGCGAGAATTTCCCGAGCTCACTCAAACGGATTACACGAAGTCCTCTCCAAAACATACGGTGACGCACCATATTCTTACAAAAGGTCCTCCAGTCTCATCGAAACCTCGACGCTTAGACCCTAAAAAGCTGCAGATAGCAAAACAGGAATTTGATAAACTTCTAAAGTTGGGAGTTATACGCCCTTCCAAAGCCCATGGTCATCACCCCTGCATATGGTACCTAAAAAAGCATCAGGGGAAATACGGCCTTGCGGTGATTATCGAGCGTTGAATAAGCGTACGGTCCCTGATAAGTATCCAATTCCTCACATACATGATTTTATGAACTCTATGACAAAAGTAAATATTTTTTCCAAGATTGACCTCGTGCGAGCTTACTATCACATTCCTGTGGAACCCAATGATGTTCCTAAGACGGCCATCACTACCCCTTCGGACTATTCGAATTTATTCGTATGCCGTTTGGTTTGACAAATGCTGCTCAAACATTCCAAAGATTTATAGATCAGGTACTCCATGGCTTACCTTTCGTCAGTGCATACATAGATGACTTAATAGTAGCTAGCGCATCTGAAACAGAGCACCTGCAACATCTGAGGACGCTTTTCGAACGACTGCGTGAATATGGCATTACAATCAATCCGCAGAAATGCGAATTTGGCAAGGAATCCCTACAGTTTTTGGGTCACATTGTTAATGCCAACGGTGTTAAACCGGTTCCGCAAGAAGTAGATGCAATTCGAGAATATCCTGTTCCAGACTCGTTTCGAAAGCTGCGAAGATTTCTGGGGTTAATAAACTTCTATCGACGTTTCATACCTAAATGTGCTGAAGTAGCCCAACCGCTGACAGATTTATTGCAAGGACGAGCCAAAGTGTTTCACATGACCCAAGCGGCCCATGATGCTTTTGACAAACTGAAGCTGGCTCTAAGTTCTGAAACTCTTCTCTCTCGTCGTGATTCAGAAGCACCACTAGCCATCATGACAGACGCTTCAAATGTTGCGGTAGGCGCAGTACTACAACAGTTTGTTCACGGTCAGTGGGAACCATTATCTTTCTTCTCGAAACGACTTAATGCTTCTCAATCGCGATACAGTACATTCGGCAGAGAGCTACTGGCGATTTACTTGGCTATCAAGCACTTCAGATATATGCTCGAAGGGTACTCATTTATAGTATTCACCGACCATAAGCCACTCAAAAAAAAAAAAAAAAAAAAAAAAAACAACTACTCGCCTCGAGAAATTCGACATTTAGAATTTATTTCACAATTCACTTCAGATATAAGGTATATCAAAGGCAGCAAAAATGAGGCAGCTGATGCTTTGTCTCGTATGTACGTAAACGTCTTAGAACGTGACCGTATTGACCTAGCAGAAATGGCAAAGTTGCAGGCCACGGATGAGGACTTGAAACATTTGAAAAACAATGTGAACACCTCATTACGTCTTGAAGAAGTGACACTTGATGACTCTGTATCCATCACCTGTGATGTATCCAAGGGTAAACCGCGCCCGTTTGTGCCTTTATCAATGAGACGATTAGTCTTCTCTAAGATGCATGGCATTTCACATCCTGGTATTCGAGCTACGGTGAAGTTAATTACTGACCGATACGTCTGGCCAAAGATGAATCGAGATCTTCGACAGTGGTCCAGAGCTTGTTTAGCGTGCCAGCGATCGAAAGTGCAAAGACATATTCTTTCACCTACGGGAAGATTTTCCCACCGGATGGCAGATTTGACCATATACACGTTGACATCGTTGGACCACTACCTCCGTCAAATGGTTTTAGCTACATTTTAACATGTGTAGACCGATTCACGAGATGGCCAGTGGCAATACCTCTGCAGGATATATCTGCCGAAACAGTAGCGAGAAATATCATCCAACACTGGATTTCTAACTTTGGTGTCCCAAGTGTCATCACCACAGATAGAGGTGCGCAGTTCGAGAGTAGTCTATTTCAACAGTTAACTGAACTTCTCGGGATCAAGCGCATAAGAACCACTGCGTACCATCCTGCATCCAATGGTATTGTCGAAAGGTTCCATCGACAACTAAAAGCAGCACTGATGGCAGTAAAGACTGATGACAAGTGGAGTGACAAATTACCACTAGTACTCCTTGGTATACGTTCGAGTGTCAAGCAGGACATTGGCTGCTGTACTGCTGAGTTAGTTTATGGAACTACTTTAAGATTGCCAGGAGAGTATTTTAACCCGGCAACAGACGTTCCACCGGACTTGACTAACTATGTACAACAACTACGGCGACACATGAGCACACTTCGACCTCAGTCCCCACGATACCGAGACAACCAAGTTTACGTACCTCAGTGCATCTCAAACTGCACTCACGTTTTCGTCCGACACGACGGCGTACGAAAACCCTTACAGCCCCCGTATGAAGGACCTTTCAAGGTAATTAGTAAATCAGACAAAGTTGTCACGGTCGAACGCTCGGGTAGACGAGAAACGGTCAGCATTGATAGAGTCAAACCAGCGTTTATGGAACCAGATGTCACGGATACCAAGTCTGAACCCGCAGTGAAGCAACCGGAAACACCGAAAACCACCGTCAAAACAGAAACAACGGCATCGGAATCACCCAATAATAGCGACGGTAGCAGAACCACGAGATCCGGAAGAAGAGTCCGTTGGCCACGACGTTACTTTCAGACAATTTACATTTCATAAAACCAATTCCCTAGTAACATTATTATCCTTTTTGCTCATTACCTTGTTGAAAACATGACCACACGATTTTGTCAGACTTTTCCGCATACACAAAACAAAATTTTTTTCCGGGCACCACGGACTTCCGAATCTCTTATTTCTTAACAATGTTCCAGGTAATACGATTTTGGTTGTTAATTTTTTTTTTATCTCCGGATATATTATTACTTTGGTAAAGTTATTTTAGTGTTTCGAATGTCATACACTCCATTTTTATGTAAACACTCTTCCAATCAGTTTTCATCCTGATAATAGATATCCTTAACATTCCTCCTATGTTTTTAATATCTTCAAAATGAATTTACCTTTCTCATAATATTTTATATCGAACACAGATATTCCCTCTTATATCTGTATTCTGGGGAGGGACTTATGTAGCATTTTATTTCACTGTATTGTGTTGATGTATGTAACAACTCATTGAACATTTTTTGTTTAGTTGTACTGAAAAAGACTTTTTGCTCGCTCGTTGACTAATACAACATCCTGATATATACTTCGCGTTAACTCCTGATATTTACGCTGTCTGACGCAGGTGGATCAGCAGTGTCTGGAATTATAAATAGGCGATAGTGTATCTGGTCACGCATATAAAATTTGGAGTCAGATTTCAGAGCTTGACAATACAATGCTACGCTATGCATGTACAAATAATGCGGATGAAGAGAAGAAGGAAGGGGAATTCTACAGACAACTTCAATCAACGCTGGACAAGACGTCAGTTGGCGATATCAAGTTTCTAATGGGCGACATGAATGCCAAACTGGGAACGGACATCTCAGGAAGAGAACTAACTATGGGTCGAGAAGAGCTTGGTGAGGTGATGAACGAGAATGGAGAATCGTTTGCAGAACTCTACATTCAACGATTTGGTGATTGGAGGCCAGGCAGTGTGTTCAAGCACAAGGATATCCACAAAGCGACATGGATTTTACCAGATGGACACACTGAAAATCAGATCGACTTTATCTCAATTTCAAGAAAATGGAGACGCAGTCTGCGTGACATAAGGTCAAGAAGAGGAGCAGATGCAGGTTCACACTCACCACTCACTGTCTAGTGCAAGGAACCTTCCAAATCAAGTTAAAAGCCTTCAAGGAAGCTGATGATAGACCTCAGTTCAAGTACAACACTCGGAAACTGAAAGATGAAACCACAAAGGAAATCTTCACGTCAGACATCAAGACAAAATGAGAGATATCGAGCAACATCTCTGAAGAAACCTGTGTGGAAGAACACTGGAAGTCTTTGAAAGAGATTTGGAGAGAAACCTGCATAACCAGGCGTATTAGGAAGAAAGAAGATAGGGAATGGATCTCGACGGATA